ATGTCCATTTTCACCTCCCTTTCGATTGGGCTAGGCTTCCTTCCATGTCTTCGTGGATAGGCTCCTGTGTCATTTTCCTCCTCTTCCTGTTGAAACGCCTCTTACTGGGCTACTTGGTAACTTGTTTTACCATGCATTTGCATGAGTCATTGTTGCATGATAGCGTCCGACTGAGCCATCTTCCTCACGTTTGCAGCCATCTCTCTCACTTCTCTCGCTATGCATATGTTATGGCCTCCTTGTCAATGCTAGTGATAGGGTCAGTCGGTGTTAACATTCGTTCGGAGGACTTCTTCTTAAGAAGCCTCCTAATGGTGACTTTAGCCTTGAGAGCCATAGTGATTAAAACTCAAGATGTATTACGAGTTCCTTTGTCAACAGTAAACTTTGGGAGAGGCTTCTTCAACGCCTTCTGCATTTCTTTCCTCAAGAAATCGAACCTTTATTCAAGGTTTGCCTATAGAACAACTTTCTTTCGATAGCTTTCGCCACCTGAATGCCCATGGGGTTTGGCCAATAGTGGTTCAACCAATTGCCACATATGCAGAATGATGTGGAGTGGGCTTAGGTTTTCTTAATGTGCAGCTACCACTTAACAATGCTTAGAGTCTCGTTGGAAGAGGTGTAACAGTCTACTATTTTTATTATTTTACATCACTCTAGTGTTTACATGCTAAAATTGAGGATCCCAAATTGGCCAGAACGATTTATATATCTTCGATTTATGTATGAGAGACTTATAGGTAATTCTTCACCATTTTTACATTGTAGATGGGTCGAGGTTAGTTGGGAGAGATTTTAATGTTATTGCACATATTGGTGTGCACACAGGCGCAACACATGGTATAAAAGTACTTTAATTTCTTAGATATGATTTTGGATTACGAACTTGTTGATAAAGGGACAATACCTTCTATTCTGATTCGTCGGCACAAGGATGTAGCATTGATTTTGTATTAGGTTTATTAGGACACAGTCACTAAACTTTTATCTACTTTTAATGACATTTAGATGTTAGGTATCTTCTTCTTTCACGATCTCTCATTTGCTCATCATAGCTTATGGAACTTAATCATCAAGATATCATTCCCAGGCTGGTAAAGGTGGCTAATAACATGGTACTTAATTGTCTCTTTCGATTGATGAAGTACAAGAGGCCGTATTTAGAATTGATACGAACAAGGTATTAGGTCCAGATTATTTATTTATTTATTTATTTTTACTCTTCACTAGCAATTTTGGATTATTGTTTAGGATGATGTATTTGGCGACAATCCTGAATTTCATTACTGGTGGTCACCTACTAAACGTTTCGTGCTCCTTCTACTATCTTGCTCCCTAAACAAGATGGTTCTTGTAGATCGATGGAGTTCCACATTATTAGCATAGGCGTATTGTTTGATAAGGTGATTAAAAAGTAATTGAATATTCAATTGAGTTTTTGGCTACCACATATCATTTCTCAACATTTGAGTGGGTTCATTTCTCATACTCTAGATTCTAGGGTGAGTGGTAGGGATGTCAACGAGTTGAGTTGAGCCAGCTCCTGAGCTAATACTCGATGCTCCGGCTCGACTCAAGTAAAATGGTGCGAGCTTTTTTTGGGGCCGTAGCTGAGCTAAGCTAAGCTTTTACTCGGTCAAAAAATCTAGGCTTGACCCAAGCTTTCGGTTCGAAACCTTTCCGAGTTGAGGCGAGTCGAGCTGAGCAAGCTCGATTTTTTTAATAATATTTGCTGACTATAAAAATCAGCAATTGCTGCCTTTTAATATTTTTAATTCCATGGTCGGCTCATCACGAGCCGAAAATGGCCCGTGACACGAGCTGGCCATTGTGGCTTGTCGAGCCACATGAGCTGGCTCGAGCTCGGTCCCACATCTCAAAATGGGACTCGATTCAAGCCACTAGCGGCCTGAGCCAGCGAGCTAAATTAATGCCCTTAGTGAGTGGAGAAATATTGTCCTTAAGCTAGATATGGCTAAAGCATATAATTGTAATGGTTGAGACTTCTTATATTCTATATATCTCGAAGTGTTGATTCTCAATACTCCATGTGGTTGGCGCTGTGGTTTACCCATAAGTTGCGCAAGCCTCTACTTTTAAAGAAAAGGGTTGTTTAAGTAAAAAGATATAAAAGTCAATATGTCAAGCTCAATTCATCTTGAAAATTTGAGCTATCTTTAAATTCACCTAGATATGTGAAGAAACCAACATAAAATGAGAATTGTTTATTTATTTGATGTGGATTTCTTGTTGATCCCAATAGCAGTAGGGAAAATAAATTCTATTCTACGTGAAATAATAACTTAGATAATTTAGATATGGAAACTTGTGTCACATCTTAAAAAAACTTATAACAAGTCAAAGGAGTCATGCTATGTGTACAATAATTGTTGACAGTATTGGTTGATAACATCCTACTCGACAACATTACATTCATCCATTTTAAAAATCATTTTTTACATAAAAGGTTCTGATTTTGACAACACATGGTTAACAACCATGTTTGTACAACTAACTTTATTGCAAGTTATACTCATAAAAACAATTGATCAATCTAAGATGAACTAATTTTTCTCCCAACTTCAGCGTAGTACGTGGCCATTGGAGAAGGCGCACATGACGGCGATATATATTGGATTAGGGGAAGCAGCATCGACAAAACACAAGCAGGAATCTCGCCGTAGAAAATTGCAAAAATCCCCTTCACGTGCGGCAGTGTACAGCCCCAATGCATTACACAAATATCACAGCTGCATCTACAAACTTAATATCATTCTTACTTCCAGACAAATTTGACCAATTTTCCTATTCAAGAGACGACTAGAATTAATGAGAAACATCATCTCCCATTCATTGTAAACAAAACCATACAAATACATACATAAATAATGTTATACTCCGAGCAGACATTGCACGATACTCACCTAAGCTATAGTATGACTTCTGTCAATTTCGGGGTCCCTCACCTTCATCTAAGATCAATAAAAACCCCGACGACAATAGTGTCCGTAGTAGGGAAAGGCAGAAGACACAACCCTAAGCTTGACGGGAAGTACATTTTTCGTGGCATGCCCTCAGAATAATCGGATTGAAGTAATCACGGTGCCAAATGATCAACTATGACTTGAACGCAACAACAACATTTATGAGTATATTGACTCACCATTCACATTAACCAATGGCAAAGTAAAGATGGTTCTTGAGTTGTTCAAATACCCACGCAATGTCAAAACTAATTTAAATGACAATGGTGATATTGAATTTCTCGACCCTTATATAATAGTCTTCCATTCTTTATAATTGGAGAATTATCGTATACGCAACTATCGTTTACCTCGACTTCTTTTCAATTTCATTAATGTAAGTATCGGAGCATCTTTGATTATTGTAACTTTTTCTTTAACGGTTGAATAAACTAAAGGTAATTATATTTACACCACGATTTTTATTTCTTGTACCACATTTTGTTTGCGCTTAAGATTCTTAATCTTTACTCATTATAGCATTTATCTCCGTGACGATTTTTTATTTCATTCTTTTCCTCAAACTTTTCATAAGTTAACACATTTTGCATTTGATAACAATTTTATGTGAAAAGTCCATTGAAATGACATAAAACAATTTATTTTTATATCATATATTTAAAAATAAATAATAGGAAAAAATATTTTTTTCCTCATTTCAAAGCATGAATATAAAATATTTTGATATAAATCTTAATCAAGGACGAGACCTACTAATTAATGGAATGTTGAAGATAAGAATTCGATGAAAATTAGGTTAAAGATTGAGGAGTTTAACTGTAATTAAAATGTGGTGTATCAAATTAAAATTGTGATTATTATGACGACTCATAAACTAATTGATTTTTTTGTGATGGGAAAAGACCTTGAAACCCTTGGAGAGAGATGGGACCTAAGTGCCATGTCATCTTTTCACATCTAACTGATCAACACATCCATATGTCCACACACATATAATTAATGCAAAGTTTACACACACCACATGCTTGATGAGGACCAAAAGATTTCCATCAATATGCATGTTATTATGCAATCATAGTCTTTGGTCAACACTGCCACACTTTTTTTATATCCTATTTAGGTATTCGCTGGTATCTACTAGCTTTTCTGGTTAAAGTTAAGAAAACATTTTTCTAGTGAAATCCATCATCAAGAAGTTTTAAAATTATAATGTTAATCACTGCGTGGGTATATAATAAAATCTCAGTTGTTTTTTTAATATTGTTCAGTAGTTTAATATTGTTCAGTAGTATCAGTTTTCTTGTGGATTTATGCTGAACGTACAGGAAATTTTCACAGATAAGCTATAAGATTTTAAAAAATAATGATGTGGTAGTTCTTTGTTTTTTCATTTACAGTTTATACTTTTTCTTTTCCTTCAGCAACTACATTTGTTATGAATTCCTGCACTGTTTCTGTGGAATTTCCCTGTATGTATAGACCGACTCTTTCTTGCGATTGGTTTGAGTCAGGAATCAAGGAAATTAATATAAAATGACCTGTAAATTGTATATAGTACTAATATTTAAATGACAAGGATAATAACATAACATGCGCTCGCGTGGTTAGACTGACACAAAGAGGCCCGCAAAATTGCTTATAATCAAACAAAGTTGCTTATAAGTTATAATCAATCAAATTTCCATCAACCAACTGGAACTACTAATCCCAATTTGGCTGTTTGGGGAACAAGAAGAGGAGGATTGTTAGAAAAATGGCTTGGTTAAGCTGTATACACACAGGCATCGATTTATAGTATTCTCAGCGTATATTATATTTCTGCAGTTTTTATTCTTGTTTTTCACGTTCTTGCTCTAATAAATAAAGTTCATATTATTATATATTATTACAATAAGGACAGTATGGCGTATCTTCCCTACCTCTTGCTCCCACCCCACCATGCCCAACCCCTCTATCTTGAAGACTCTATTTAAAAAACAAGAATAGCCCACTGCTTTCTCCCATGCACTTTGTCTTCATCACCGCCTCCAACACTACTCTAGTAGTTGCGTTTTATTTTTTCTGCTCTTTCGTGGCTCCTTTATCTCTCTGTCTATAACTTGCCTATAAATAGATTATTTCATTCTTTCTTGTGCAGAATTACTCTCCAAAAATACAACTAATTAGTTACTTTTCTGACACTTATAATTTTTTATTTTTTACATTTGCCATTTAGTTAACCTGACAATGTCTAGCAGGAGATCACGTTCGAGGCAGTCAGGAGCCTCCAGGATAAGTGATGATCAGATAGCTGATCTTGTTTCCAAGTTGCAGCAGCTTATCCCTGAGATTCGCACTCGACATTCAGATAAGGTACTTCATTGGTATTTCCTACTTACATATATTTGTGTGTTCATCTAATTGATTCTAGTTGGGTTTTTTTGTTGGTTTTGTTTTGGTTTTTTTTTTTTTTTTTTTTTTTTGTGGCCTTCATCATTTTCATTAGTAGCTAAGTCAGGTCGTGCTCGTGCCCACAAGGGTGCAAGGCTCATTTAATTCTTGTGGTTCCATTTAACCTAAAATTTCAAGTGTGGGACTCTAAGGTCTCCATGTGAGGCTACATTCAACTTAATCATATTGTTTATTGATTCTCCGAGTCACAAACCGCACATTATTGGGTAGTCCATACGTGTATTAGGACCATTCTAATCTCAGCCATTTTTTCGTGATTAGGCACAAGTGAGATCCTTTGTACACTTCAGTTAAGTGGATGTAGCTATCACATCAACAGACCTATAACTATTAAATTTGTGATCTTTGTGTGTTAGCTTCCGCTTGTATACAATTTATTAAAGTCAAATATTAATTTTAACTATATATTATAACTAGTAATCATTATTATTCATATATTTCATAGAGTCCACTAATGTTCTTCTTCTGTTCCTATTTACAAGCCATTTATAAATTTGTCAATTCATTATCTACGTGTTTATGGTTTTCGTTTCACTTCTTATTGCTCTTGTAATTGAAATTGCAGATTAACACCGGCCCTAACACACTATAAATATTAACTTCTTTGCTTCTTATGTGTATATGTATTGCAGAAACTCCATGTTTCTTTCCTGTTTCTTGTGGCTATTCATTACTGCAAACTCTCAACTAAATAGTCTGGGCAATATTGGTGTCTTCTCTTAGGGAAAATGGATTATATTTAACATTAAGGAATGTATCCAATCTTATTCTTTACATATGTCAGGTATCCGCTTCGAAGGTCTTGCAGGAGACTTGTAACTACATTAGGAGCTTACACAAAGAGGTCGATGATCTGAGTGATCGACTATCAGCGCTTTTGGAATCCACCGATGGTGACAGTGCTCAAGCAGCCATAATTAGAAGCTTGCTAATGTGATAGCAAACCTTTACTGCTCCAAAGTTTGTTTTCATTCGTATCTAGGGTTTGGTCACTAGATTAGGCCAAAGTATGAGTTTAGCTTGGCTCCACGGTTTATCCTTATATATGTATCATTGCCAAGACTTTGCATTGCTAAGTCATATATCTAAAATATGTATGAAATAAAAGGGCTTTTGTACCTACATATTATTGAAAATTATAAACCCTAATTAGTTTCCACAAAGAACAATTAATTCGAAAAAACTAAAGAAAAATAAACACTCAAAAACATGCGAGATTTAGAGAGGTTTGCCCCAATATGATACTAAGTTCTCTATCACCACTACACTAATTCACTATGATGAAAAAAATATTTAAAAGAGAAAATTGCACAGCTATCTAGCATCTCTCTCTTTTATAAAAATATAAATAAAGCCTAAGGACTACTCCCTAATTATAAAATAAATTAAGGCAAAACCGAATTTTTTAATGACTCCAATTTCATAATAGAATTTTACAAGACTTTGAATTTCTAAATAGTCCTTAATGACATTTTGGTCTAGTGACGACCCCCCCCCCCCCCCCCCCGAAAAAAATTGCTTTTTTTTTGTCCCCCCCCCCCGATGGGAAATAAATTGCTTTATGTCGGTTACCGGTGTCAATAGTTGACGATTACATAATTTGACCAATGTCGAATTCACCTCAAATAAAAAATGGAAAGAATTACTACTGAGTGCAAAAGGAAATCAAATTTTCAATTAGTCATTGTACCTAGAGAAGTAGAAAAAATAAAAAAAGTTTCATCCTCAGCATAGTGAGAAAACATTTCTATGGGAGCGGTTTGTCTCTGTAGAACAAGTTCACACTATTGTTTGGCGCAATTTTATCATGGATTAGTCTATTTGTACACTTTTGGTACATGGAAGGAGTGTAAAGGATTATGTACACCAAAAGTGTACAAATAGATTAGCCCTTTTATTATTGGATTATTCCATATGTACTGAATGGGGGTACTAAATGGTGTCCCCCTCTCACAATGCATGTAGGCCTCGCGCATGAATTTGAAAATGTTGACACATGATCCTCACTTTTGTTGTGAGTAGTAGGTAAAAGATTCGATAAAAAAATTCGACATGTTTTCCTTGTCCTCTATTACTTCGCCTAAAGATTATAATGACATCACTTTTGGGATGCGAAATAAAATTGAATTGCTGAATTTGTCATTAAACACCAAGAAGTCCATGACCGTGAATCATATTGCTACATTAACCCCCGTTTTTCTTGTCGTTTTAAATGGAGATGCGTTCTTTTTTACTTGTCAAAAGGTCAGACTCTGGCAGTTACCTTGTTTATGGATTGAGACTTTATTATTAATGTATGCAGTGACCTAACCATGTCCAAAATATATATAAATGGTTTATGAATAGGAATAATAAGAGGAATAGTAGTGAATCCTACATTATGAATAGTAGTTATAAAATATATGATTGAAATTATTGTTTTAACTTTGATCTTATTTATAATTAAATTTATAAATTGTATCCAAATAACGGCAAAATACACTATATATGACATGAACATGACAACCACAAGTCATTAACACGTGAGTTTGGCATCAGTGTTTTAAATAGTTCATAGACGAACCAATTATTATAATATTTTGATTTATAATAAGTGTAGTTTTTACACTTAGTTAGGACATTAAAATTGAATAATTGAGAGTACTTTTTGGAATTATTACTTAATTTTCTGTAAATATTGTTTGTTTAGATAAAACTTGATGATTGACGACTTTTGAGGAAAGTGAGTGAAAATCGTGCAAAAATGATGTGAATTGTGCATATCATAGACGATGTGAGCCAACACTACTAAATCATGCTTTTCACCAATGATAATTATCAACGTTATTCATTATTAATTAGAAATGGATTATCCATTAGTAAAATTAATAGACTTTTAACTACGATATTTAGTAACGAAATTTTCGTTAGTAAAAGTAATAGCTCTCTATCAACGGATATTTCTTGCCTAATGTAATCATTTAAAAATTTCATAATTCACCTACAAATATTCCTTAGGTTACGTAAATCATTTAAAAAAAAAAAATTCAACCTATTCAGCAACGGCAATAACATAGGTGAAGATTAATTATTATTACCCACAAGATCGTTGATAATATTAATCAATTGTAATAATTAAAAAATTTCAATCATTCACCTACCGAAAATTTGTAGTTGACTGGTAATCAATTTATTTAAAAACTTTCATCGTCTTTACCAACAGATATTACATAGGGGAAAAGTAATTCTTATTACCTACGAAAAATTCACTGCTAACATTGATTGATTTTAATAATTTTAAGAAAAATTAAATTTCATCTACCAAAAATTCGTAGTTGAATGGTCATTAATTTCGTCATCTTCGCCAATGAATATTCCTAAGTGAATAGTAATTTATATTACCTAAGAAAAATCTGTTATGATATTAATCAATATTAATAATTAATTAAAATTCAACTATTCACTTACCCAGAATTCGTACATGATGGTTAATCATTTTTTTTTCCGATAAAGTTTCAACATCTTCACCAACAGATATTTCATAGGTAAAGAGTAATTCATTTTACCTACGAAAAATTCTTTGTTGATATTAGTTTAATAACTATTTATTTAAAAAAAAAAATTCACCTACCGACAATTAGGTTTTGTTTGAGCCACAATTTTTTTCCTTAGAATACATTTTTGAATAGTCTATTGATGGAAAATTTGTGGTTAAAAAATAAAGAAAAGTTTTAAATTTGCGTGTAATATTATTTTATTAAAAATGTGTGATTAAAACGATGTCAAATCACTGTTTAAAAATATATTTTTTTGAAAAAATGTGGCTCAAACATGCCCTTAAGAGTAATTAATTAATTAAAAAAAAAAGTTGCAGTATCTTCACCAATGTATATTTTGTAGGTGAAAATTAATTCATATTACTTTCGAAAAATTCGTTAAAATAATAATAAATAAATAAAAATACTAGCACCTTTAATTTAAGAATTTAAGGGGAATGGAATATCGACCACAGGGTGATGATATTAATCAATTTTAGAAGCTCCCAGGGCACATCTCCAAATGGTAAAAGGGGAGGGTGGAGAAATCCAGCTTTGCTTGAGACTGCTGCGTCAAGGGTTCGAATCCTGAAATATAGATTTGGCTCTTGAGTAAGTGCAAGTGTACAAGCAGCCTTTCACCCTGTACCCTTGGAGGCATAACCTGCGATTTACCTCCCTCACGATACTCCAGGGCAGGAGTGGTGGGGGACCCTTAAGGTTGGGGTTCAACCTTTTTTATTAATCAATTTTAGAAACTAAAAAATTTTCAAAAATTCACCAACCGACAATTCGTGGTTGAAGGTAATCAATTGTTTGAAAAAATAGTTTCTAGCTCTTCATTGATGAGTATTCCGTACGTGAAGTGTAATTTATATAATCTACGAAAAATTCGTTGTTAGTATTAATTAATACTAAAAACTAAAAAAAGTTTCAATCATTCACCTATCGAAAAGTTGTAAGTGAAAGAGTAATTATATTGTTTCGATGTTTAACTTACGAAAATTTGGTTGACGAAGGTAAATCAATGGTGAAAATGGTAAAAACTTTGAAATATTCGGACATGATGGTTAATTGCTCAAGGAATGGCCATAAATTAAGTTTAATTCATTTTAATTTCACATTTTTTGACAGCAAAATGAAAATAAAAAAGATCTAAAAAATTTCATAGACAAAGTAGTATCTAAAATGTACGACATTCCATTCATTGGGAATTTCGTGTTAAAAAATGAAAGCAAGTACTATTTAGTATCATTTTGTCTAGTTCATATAGTGATGACAATGGATCGAGTCGAGCCGGCTCGGTCCTTTAACCCACGAACTCGGCTCGGGCTCGTCAACGGTCCTTTAACCCACGAGCTCGGCTCGGGCTCGTCAAAAAATTGACGAGCCTGAACCGCCCACGAGTCGGATTTTGATGAACCGACAAGCCACTCGACTCGTTTGACATCCCTAAGTTCATAGCACTACTAAGTTTTTTCAAATGTTTTTACCAATGAAAATACAGTTGGTAATGACAAGTATTTTTACCAACGGATTTGTGACAATATTTATAATCATCGGCGATATCTATTAGCAATAGATATTGTGGCTTCAGCAACATAAAATTCTTTCTTGAAGCCTTTTTTTTTTTTTTTTTTTTTTTTGGTAGTTCAAAATGACATGAGTTTAAAGGGTTTAAATTGCAATCAGGAAGGACATGAACTGAATTGAGAGTTGAAAATGAAGAATGAAGTGTAACTGTTCATAATTACAAGATTGCGATTGCTATACCTTTCGAAGCAGAATTAGAAAATGAAATTACTTTTTGTGTGATGTCGGTGAAATGTACCTTGCAATCGCACAATTTAATCCGAGAAGAAGATTTGTTTCCTTTTCTAATTCAATCACTTTTTGGAAAGCAGCAGTTTTTCTCGTATCCTATTTTTTGATCATATATGTTATATTGAACACACCCAAAATGCATAGTACAATAGTCTTAGAGTGTGTATGAAATAACTTAGTCAAAACCTAAAACCATTTCCTCGATGTTAAAACTCTTTTCATTTAAAGTATCGGATGTTTGGTTGAAGTTACTTTTTGACATTAGTAATAATAAAAATAGCTTAAAATGCTATTTGGGAGATATTTAAATTTTTAGTTTCTCTAAAAAAAGCTCTAGTTTACATTTAATGATGATAAAAAAAATTAAAAAAATACACATAAAAAAATATTTATAGCTTCTAACTCAATTAAATAAATTTAAAGTTTATACAAAAGCACTTTTACAGTTATACTTCCAAATAGTCAATTTAGTATTCACAATACTTTATTATTTCACAACCAAACAATAAACATTTTCCCTACTATATAAAAAGGGAAATGTGGAGACACTGTTGAAGTGAATAGTATTTTAATTCATTTTATATCACTATAGCATTTTTATTTTTTTTCAAGTGGGGAAGCAAAAACGACGCCGTTTGTCTTAGTATATATTTTATTATACAGTGTACTTCCAAACTTACTGTAACACGCAACTTTTCATACTTTCCACCAAATCTGATCTCTTCACTCCGTGCTCAATAAAAAAATATTGGCTCAGTCATGGAGACT